TTGCCATGATGGACTAAAACCATGAGCAAAAGAAATCTTTCCCCACCTAAGTGGCTATCATCCCAAAGTAATAATAAAACTAATGTGCCCTGCCTGCACCTAGGTAAGTATTCCCTTTATTTAACTCTTTCCAGCCTCCTTTGATTGTTAGCATTCCGCCCAGCCAGGACTCTAGCTGGTGCATCAATTCTCCGTGCTCCTGCTCTTGTTCTTTGCTCCTCCTCTCAAGAGTGCTCCAGTTCTCCAGTGAGAACTCCTGTCCCCAGAAGTACTCTAGCCCCAGTCATCTCTTGTTTTGATCAAAATTTAATCTACTACATGTCTTACTGGTGGAAGATCAACCAAACGAAGATTCACTGTGTCAGAAGCTCTGAAGTTTGCTGCTTGCATTGCAAATGTCCTCAGGCGTTTGGAGTTTGGGGGGATCCTTCCTTTAATCTCAAGAAAACTGTTTTTAATGAGGAAACTTCATATTCAGATGATAAAACTCGTATTATCATCCTGTCCTTCAAGTAAGCCTAGCCCTGCATGTGTAAGCAGTTCAGAAAAAAAAAAAAAAGCGCTTAATCCAGTGTTTCCTGAAATACACTCTTCACAACAATAGTCCTGCAAAATATTTAAGAGTAAAAGGGTAGTTACTTTAATGTAACACTTTTAGAAATAATTTTATATACACCGATTGGTAACTAAAGCCATTAGAAGTCCTACAGTATATAAGTATATATACTTACTTTGAGCTTTTTATATTTCAAACAAAAACAAAATTTCTCAGACTGTGTAGGCTGTTTGCTTGTTCCTCCCTCTAAGACTTGGAAGAGCATCTCCATAAAGGGACGAACTGTCTTCCTGAAAACCTGGACAGAAGCTTCTCCCATGGAAGAAAACAGCCTACATCTGCTATCATATACTTTTCTTTACTGCTTCTGAATTTTTGTTATCTGCTCTTTAAATCTTTGCTTTCCAATTCTGTTTCCATGAAGCACATAAAGGACATGAAAAAGATTCAAGTATCTTATGCCAAACCCACTTTTTGTTCTACGGCTTTTAACTTGGTTTCGCTTTCCTGTCTGAATAAGTAGATTTGCCAGAGGATCTCAGTCTAAATTCAATGAAGTTTAATAGAAATGTGAATGATCAATAAGGTCTAATCAGATGCAATTGTAGCTCTATAACTAGTTTTGAATGGTTTCATGGGTTAAAACTGCCTGGTTGCAGGTAGAGGGCGCTCTCCCTTCCTGTCTCCCCTAAAGCTGTGTGCTTCCTTTGCACATGCTTTCAGGATGGCTGAGTGATTTGCAATAACAAAAAAAATTCTGCAGAGTGATAAGTTCTAGTGCCATAAAATAGAAAAGCTTTTAAAATAGAATTAAAGTGGGAGCTTTTAAAATTACACAGTGCTTTTTATTTGGAATATTTCAAATTACAGAGAAATGAAACTATAAATATACCATAATGTCTGCTTTTAGGTGTTTAGAGTCTCTGGGAATAGATAGATGATAGATAGATAAGTAGATGGATGGATGGATAGATAGAAAGATAGATAAACAAATATAGAGATATGTGAATATGTATGTATGTTCCACACAGATATAAACATACCATACCAATAAGGGATAATTAATTATAAAAATGATAGATAACCATTAAAATAATCTAGACAAAGTAGGCCCATTTCTCTATACTGAGACCTAGTTTTCTATTTTTCTGTTTATGAAACCTGAGTGGCAGCTGTCATTGTGTGTTTTTTACTTCTGCCAGCAAAACTTCAATTTTCTTGCTCTTCAAATTCTCATTTCTTGACAGGTATCCATCAAAACCTCTCCTCAAATTTCCTACACTTGTAACATGCTTGGAGTGCATCAGGACATTTCTGCTCAGTCTAGCTATCTTTTAAATTTCGTTTTGATAACCCATCTCATTAAAATGTAGTGCAGAGTCCTCATGTTTATTTATTATTTGAACATAGCTCATGAAGCCATTATTCAAATCTGACTGTACTCACTAATATATTTCATAACATACATATATCCCTAGACTTTTTTGTATTCCGGTAATGTTTCCATTAGCCATCCATTCTTTAATGAAAAGCTACTTATTTTCCTGGAAATGAAAGAAAAAAATCTGTGGAGCTCTCTGCTGAACACTCACAGGCTTTCCCTGTGATTTTTGCACAACTTTGTTATATTTTCATCTTGTGTAAACCTAAGGAGTGGGTAGCATTGTAATACAGATCACATTTCAAAAATACTACAGTCATTAGAAACTATGAAGCAGAATTCTTAGCCTTGTTTTCTTTTTCTATTTCCAAGGTCTCAGTCATGCATTTGGGATATATATTTACTCCTTTAAGCCATTAAGCAATTCTCTAATTGAGCTAGAGTACATCACCTGTGTCCTGTGCTCTGATTTTCAGTTCCATTTAGACTTGCATGTGTGAACTCACAAGCTTGAGCCTGGGAAGCCCTGGAACAGCCACAGCCACTGGTGAGTTTGGTTGGAGTGTCTTCCAGTTGTTTTGTGTTTCTTGGGCCAGCAACAGAATTCTTGCATTTTTGCCCAAGTTATTCTTACTGTTGACCTGTGTACTGAAAGCCTGTTCCTAAATACTATTGTTGTTTCTGGAATTGAAATTCCTGGATGACCCAGGGTTTGAGTATCTTCTTCCTTCTCTCTGTTTTCTGGAATATTCCTTCCGGTAAAGATGTATTTACACCCAAGTTCTCAGCTCTGAAACCTTTTTCCAATGTCACCTGTATGAATCACATTACAATTGCTTGTTTGGTTAACCTGTGGGGTTCCTGCTTGGATCCATGGTCAGTTATCGTCCTTAATGACCAACCCCTCAAGGCCATCCCACAATGGCATCCTTTCCGTTTGAACTGATGTTCCAAGAATCTATGTCAGTGTAGATGTCTGGGATTGTTCAGCTGCCTCATCTCCATCCCAGTGTTCCCTCTGAATGAATCCTTCTAATTCTTCATTGCTTTTAGAACTCTACATGAACCAAATACTATTATTTTCCTGAAGCATTGTTCTGTGGGCATTCAGATCTGCTCCATGGAACCTGCTATCTTGATGGTAGCTGATGAAGAAATAGTTCTCTGGCTGAATACATTTGAGAAGGACTCTGAAGAAGAGATTAGCTAGTTTCCCTTTTTGCAGAACTTGTCTAGATTCAATATATTAATATGCATCCATACAGGCAAAATTAAGATTTTTTTCCTGATACATTTGTTTAGGAATATTGTTTTCTAAGAGCTTCTTAAAGCCAAGTATTCTGTAAAAAATTAGAAATGATTTATTATTGTTATTATGTGTGTGTATTTGTGCACTGTGGCATGTGTGGCGGGGGGGGGGGGGGGGTCAGGGGACAAATATTGAGTGTAAGTTCTCCTTCCATTGTGGGTTCTAGATGGACAATTCAGATATCCAGGCTTGTGAGACAAGCACTTCTATCCACTCAGCCATCTTGTCAGCCCTAGAACATACTTTTAAAATGCTTTTGAGGGTTAGATTAGAGAATCTTTTAGTGTTTTTCAGTTTTACAGACTGGTCCAATTATTCACAATAAGTATTCTGGCAGAAAGGAAGTGAAAAAAAAAAGTCGCTTAGTGTTTAGCCAACTCCATCCAAAGAAGCAAGAGCCATGAGCACGGCACTTGGGTTCCTATGTAGTTCTGGTCTACAGAGAAGCAAAGATACTGCAGAAGACCCCACCCATTGTGTTATGTTTTTCAACAGCATGATAATATTTATTGAAACCTAATGGGTCAAGCGTAATTCTAGGTTCTGAAGCTGTAATGGTTAATTAGGTTAATTCCATTTTGTATGTATGAATTTCTCTAAACATCATCTGGCGAACCTATATTCATATTACCAAGGATATGGAATCCACCAACAAGTCCACAAACAACTGAGAGCATATGGGAATGTGGCATGTACTAAATTGAATGTTATCTCAGTGGTTAAAAGAGAATGAACACACTGTATATGGACAAAATAGTTTTACTTTTGATGAAGAGAATGAAATATTGTCTTTTATGACAACACAGATTGGATTGGAAGGTAACACATTAATTTAAATAATTCAGTCCCAGAAAGACAAATACATATATTTCCCCTCATTCATAGAAGGTATAAATAGAGTTCACAGAAATAGAGGTTAGTGGTTACTGGAGGCCAGGAAGGAGAAGGAGAGAAGACAGAGTATAGCTAAATAATGAGAAGCAGGATGCATTTAGAGAGCAGAAGTTAATTTGTGTTCTATATCACAGCAGCATGAATACACTCTCTAACAATTTATGATGTATTTAAACATATCTCGACAAGTCACTTTGCAACATACAGAAATAATAAATATTAAGAGAGATGAAAGCTAAATACCTGGATTTTATCGTTATGCATTGTATGCATGTGCAGAATTATACCATATCCCATAAATATGTGCAGATAATATGTTAATTACATTACTTTTTTAAAGCTGAAGAAGCCTGTTAGATAAAATCTTTCCATTTGTCTACATTAACAATCATATATATATATATATATATATATATATATATATATATATATATATATGTAGCCAGGGCTGCACCATGCCAAAAATTGTGTTTCTGTGGGATTCAGGGTTACCCCCCCCAATGCGTTGCAGTACTGCTGCATAACACCCTTAGACACGGATGTTTAAGAAATCCCGGTGCTGATGCAGGGATAGTGGTAGAGCTTGCTGGTGAGTCTGGCTTACACAGAGCGCCTCATGTTGGCTACCGTGATGGCTGGTGGGACTAAGGCAGGCCCCTGGCCCCCTGGTAGGATGATGTCCATCTGACAGGCATTTATTACTCACTAAACACTCAGAATGTTCATTATCCTCTCTTCATTGGGTCTCAAAGGACAGAGCGAGCCACTGAACACACACCAGGGCTTGCTTACTATTGGCCCACCAGTTCAGTAGATTTCATTTGATTTTCATGTGAACTCAGAGGTGAGGAGACTCCCGGATTTTCTCAAGGGATATGGCGTATTTCTCCTTGATTCATTCACACCTTGCTTTAATTCTTTATTTAAGGCAGACTTTATTTTTAAATCAGGTAGTGATAAAAATTCAGCTCTCGGCATACAGAAGCACAGCAGATTTTTCTTCCCACGTTTCACCACTATTTAAGTCGACTCCGTTCAGACCTAAACTCTTGCTGTCTCTCTCACCACATTTCCTGTTTATAACTGAACAAAGTACACACCAAAGAGTTGAAGAAACAGAGGAGAGGAGAAAACACCCAAGTGCTGATAAAGATGTATGTCGGTGCTATGCTGTTTCTAACATAACAGAGCAACGGCATTTAGAAAAAAAAAAAAAGCTGGTAGGAGAATTCGTAGTCTGTCCTTCTTCTGTTTCATGGCTGCACACGGGCGCTTCTGAAAAGAACCATGTCAGGTGGGTGGCATTCTGAAGTCCTTTTTTTTTTTTTCATTCCTACGACTAACAGTTTATTTACTAATTTCTAGGTCTTAACAAAGAGATATTTACTTGTGGGAAAGTAAATTTGTTAACATGGCGTTTTAAAAAATGTACAATGATGTTTTGTATGACTGGAAAGTGGTTTGAATTGCATTTATGGGTATATTGATTATTTGCTCCTGAAAAAAAAAAAAAAAAAACGTAGGCAGTGTTTTCTAAAAACAAAGTTATCGTGGCTATTGATTAATGTTCACTAGTAACTGTGCCATGTGAAAGTTTGCTGTTTTTACAGAATCTTTTGTTGACTATGCATATTTCTCCTTGGTTGGTTTAGACAGAAAATGGGATAGGAATAATTGATTGTTAACTGTCTAGCAATTAGGCATTATAGTTTTCCCTGAGGGATCAGTAGAATTGCCAATAATCAGGGAGATGAAAAACTTTCAAAAGGCCAGTGGAAATCCCGTGATGAGATAGATTGTGATGGGAGCTCAGATGATTTCCCTGCTACGAATCCAAGTCCATCATTCATTCCTCCCGCATTCCTGATGTTCTCTTCGGTTCTTTAGGAATTTTTTTACAACAGAAAAAAAAAATGTGTATTATTTAAAGGAAGAGCATTGTGAAACAAAAGAACCTTTGTTTGTTTGTTTGTTTGTTTTTGTTCTCAAGACAGGGTTTCTCTCTCTAGCTCTGACTGTCCTGGAACTCTGTAGACCAGGCTGGCCTCAAACTCACAGACATCTGCTTGCCTCTGCCTCCCAGGTGCTGGGATTAAAGGCATGCACCACCACCACCACCCAGCAGAAAAATTATCTTACAAGCTCACATTTAATTTCTTTAAAATGCAAAATATTAACTTGAATTTCCTTCAAATTTTTACTCCTGTGCATTCCACATGGTTTGCCTTTTATAGCTGGAATAATAGCATGCATTAAATTATATACTCAGCTTTACTACCAGCTCTACAGCATAACTATTTCCTTCTTCATTATAGTATCTGCCTCGTCATGTTAAATAGATGCACAGAAAGATAGCCAGTGCACTAATTAGAATTTGTCCATTCATTCATCTATTGTTAGACACTTCTGTTGTATCCAGTTTTTTTTTTTTTTTTGTATTTTAAATGGCAGGAAAATGAACAACTCTAAGGCTTTCATGTATTGAGAGTTATTTTTCAGAAATTATATCTAGAATCAAAATTACTGAATAAGATGTTATGGATATTTTGAGTTTCGTTGTTGCTAAATTGCTTCTCCAAGGCTGATGGCAATTCCCTCCCATTCTAAAGGACTTCCTTTTAATTGTTGATCTCATTTGACAATCTTCATGAGCGCAATGTCCTAGTCCACTGCTTAATACGGGTCACTTTGATTACAATCAGCTTGGACACCAAACATTCTGCACAGATTTTTAAGCTGTTTGTAACTCTGTGGTTTGTACCTTTCTGACCGTATCTTATGCCTAATTGTTATGCTGTTGGCACATTTAATAGCAATACTTATTGGGCAATAGTAGAGCAAAGATATCACATATTATAATTTCTAAGAGTTCACTTCTCAGAATTTTGTTTGAAGGATTTTAAAAAAATCATTTGTCTGGGTAAGGCACAGGAGTGTAACTTAACATACGACATTCATATGTGCCTTCTCTTTCCTGGTTCACAGGAGAACAAAAATAAAGGGACTAGTTCTAATTTGGCTAGGATCGTGTAAGAAATAGACACAGCAGTTCTCTGCCCATGCTGCTGACAGGAGCTTGGGAAGGGGAAGGGCAAAGGCAATGAATGTGATGTTCAACTCTCTCTGGAACTTACTAATTCTCAATGAGAAGACAATGGTAAGCTTTCTCCATCCACTTCACAGCTCAGCCCTTGAGCACAGGGCAGGGATGCTGTCATTGTCAATGAGGCCTCCCCAAAACAGAGATGAAAGTGTTTGCCATTAAAGCTTCCTAGATCTTAAAAGTCAAAATGATCCCCACCCTGCAAAATTTAATATGAATCAAGGGAATCTGGTGACAAAATTTTCCATTTTTTAAATAGATAAAATAAACATACTGATCTAATAACTAAGGCCATGCTTCCCTATTCACATAAAATGAGTATTAACCAGATCAAAGGGAGAAATCCGTTCCTTTGGCCCATCATTTAATGAACAATGGTTCACCATTTAGTTAACACTTTGTTTGTTTGTGTTGTTTGCTTTATGGAGTTCTCACTGTCTTTGCTCACTGGAATTTCACTTACATTTCTGGGCAGAGTGACACTTTTTTAGAGACTAGAGTTAGCTAATTATGAATAGCCTCTTAAACCCAGGCATTCTTTTAAAGATCCGGAGACAATGTTTGCCATGTAACTTCAGTAATATTTGTCAGTAAATTTAAGACAAGCTAATCAAAAGAAAAAACACACCATCACTTAAAGGCCACAGGTATGAAACACATATGCTCACAAGTTAATAGTAACATGTCATTATTACACAAATTCTTACACATTTTAAATTTTATTTAATTATCACAGCATTCCTTAATTTAAAGAAAATAGCACAGGCATTTGCAAACATTTAACTCTAGTGTTTGTGGGTTGGAAGATTCCACATACCCATGCTTATGTCCACAGTCCTTCCAGGTTGCTTCTCTAACAAAAGACAGAGTGTGTATACAAGATGAAGTAACTAAGCATGGATGAGCAGCAGCTTGTCTACAGAGGGGATTTGGTCAGCACCTCAACCCCAACAGCATTTGTGACATTTACCAATCTCATATAAAGTTTAGTTTCAAAAGCAACAAAGGAATTTGGCATCGGAGAAATCTGCAGCATGGTCTCTTAAAATCTGCCATCTGCCTCACAGGCATATGTACACTTCTTTTTTTCCAGTTAACTTAAATAAAATCTAAGAGGAATCCAGATGCTTTAGAAAGAGGTGGGCTTGATGCAGCAAGGATGAAGTTGGAAGCTCCAGATTGACAGCAGGCTAACTGAGGATCAGTGGTTTGTAAGAAGGAAGTTACACAACTTGCAGAAGACTAGTCTTGTTCTCGTTCTCCTGCTGTGTGAAAAATAGACATATCAAAGGTTGTATTGCTATTTCGCTTCTCCCCCACCAATCTGTGAGCTATACCATTTACATCTCTGATACCCTCTATTCATGACAGGAATTCATTCTGAAGTTTGTGGGTTTCAAATTTTGCATTAGAAACAAGTTATTTACTTGGAAACCTAGAGCTAATGTGAGAGCTCCCCTGATACTAACATCTATGATTCTCATGCCTTTTATTGGTGATGATGGGCCTAGGTGGTGGAGGTTTGGAATATAGACATGGTGATAACATGCTATATAACCCCCACATCAAAAATATGCTGTGTTCAACACAACCACCAGCACACTGAAAAAAAAGTGTCATTAATAGACACATGGGAATTGTAACATCAATTTAATTTTCTTTCAGAACATTTCGGTGCTTCAAATAAATATGAATATTTGTGGAATGCAAAAGGATGTCCTTTGCTCTAATAGAGTTTATAAGTCAAACAAAGGAACTAAGAGGGGATGGTTAAATGTGGTAAATCCATATACTTGTCCTAGTTAAAGACAGTCTGAAGTCCAAAACATGTAAAGCATTATGTTTACTTCTTTTTACCGTTAATTGTTTAAGTGAAAGTTTCTGCATTAATAAAATCTGCTAATAGAGAAGCATTACATTTGCTTAGTCATGTCTCCTTCCATAACTCATGCAATTATGAACTCCATATACAGTGCCTGCTAATACCTGTTGACTTTAAGGGAGTCAGATCTCTTACAATCAAATCCGCTGGTATTAGTCATTGGTGGCTGAAAACTAGATAGAAATTCACATACGATTTTTCTGTCTGCCATAGCCTCACAAATGATTTCCTAAGCCCTTTGGCTTCGTAATGATGCAAATGCCCAAATTCATATTGTATATGAATTATTTTTAAGTCAAGAAAAACTATATACATGAAGGTACAATTAATTTAAAATGCTACTTAAACTTGCTTTTGTTGAATAGATGTTGAGTACAGTAGGATTCACTCTGCACTCACAGAAACTCCAAGGGATAAGGAGATATTTGCATTGTAAACAGAATTACTGGAGAGGGAAGCCATAGTTGTGTGTGTGTGTGTGTGTGTGTGTGTGTGTGTGTGTGTGTGTGTGTCTGTTGAGAAGTTCTTCCATTTAGTCACCCAATCTTTGCTCTTTTCATATATGTATTTTATTTTTCAATGTGAGGGTAAGCATTGCTGACCATCAAGAAAATGCAAAAGATGTTAAGAGTGTCACAAAGGCCGGGCGGTGGTGGCGCACGCCTTTAATCCCAGCACTCGGGAGGCAGAGCCAGGCGGATCTCTGTGAGTTCGAGGCCAGCCTGGTTACTACAAAGCGAGTTCCAGGAAAGGTGCAAAGCTACGCAGAGAAACCCTGTCTTGAAAAATTTAAAAAAAAAAAAAAAAAAAGAGCGTCACAAAGTACAAATCTTCCAAATAAAAATCTTCCCCTTTAAAACTCAAATCTCATTACTGAGGAAGAAGTTTCTGAAAAATAGAAACATGGAGTCTAAAGTCAGAGAGAAACTGGAGCCCGTGTTAAACTGCCTCTCCCTAACAAGTCTAAACCTCTCCCAATATATTGCAATTTAGAGTGTGTCATCAAAGTCTAGATTTGCTCATATAAAACAAATTTACTCTTTTGTAAACAATGAAACACATCCCCAAGGGGTTGTGTAGTGTGACCCAAGTTCTTACCCTGTACCACTGACATACTCCATGAATGCTGTCAGAATTTTAGCATAAAATGCTATTGGTATTTTGGTTGTTTATTTGTAGCTGAGAGAAAAAAATTATCTTCCTGTAGCAATTAATGGATTAATATAACTATTTCACTTCTCCTTTTAATTGGAAAGGAGAAAGTATAACTTCCATTTGAAATATAATTTTGCCCAAATGATAGGATGAT